AATAATTATGCAGTAACACATAACGCCTATGTATTATTGAAAATCTTTTTGTTAGGTAATAGCGGGCCAGTTCCTTTCGGACAAAAAGGTTGGTACATACGTTGAAGTTGAAATGTATGGTCTACCAACTGACACAATAAGAAAAGAATTCCGTACGAGAGTTGTACCAGCGAATGGCCTTAATCCGGTGTACAACGAAGAGCCATTCCTCTTTAGAAAAGTCGTCTTACCGGATTTGGCAGCTCTTAGATTCGCCGTCTATGACGAATCAAACGGAAAACTTCTTGGCCAAAGAATAGTTCCTTTAGACGGTTTGCAATCCGGGTATCGTCATATATCTCTCCGTACTGAAGCAAACTTTCCTATGTCCCTTCCTATGCTCTTTTGCAATATAGAAATAAAGATTTACGTACCAGATGGTTTCCAAGGTATGATAAAATATAATCAATAATGAATTTTATTTGTTATTTATTGACTTATAATGGAGTTTATTTTTTGTTTTCTTTTCAAAGAATTTATGGACGCCTTAACTGCACCTCGTGCTTTCAAAAAAACTGAGAGTATGTCGCAAAATAAAATGCGTGGACTTGGAATTGAAGAGAGTGACAGTAAAAGTAGTTCCAATTCTATGCCCTCTAAACATCAAGAAGCTGCAAAACCAAGAGGTTAATTTCAAAGATAATTTTTTTAAACTTTTACTATCAAATTTGATTGATACAATATAACTGTGAATTGTTTTTTTTTCTACAGAGGAAATTAAATTCGATCCGATAACTGTGGAATCATTGAAATTAGAGAAGGGTTTTCAAAAAATTTTAAGAAAACATCAAAAGGAGTTGGAATCTTTGAAGAAGAGGCATCAAAAAGAAAAGGTGTCTTTACAAAAACAGCATTGCGTTGCTATAGAAAAAATCATCAAAGGGAAGAAGTAAGTTTAAAATTTTTATTTAACTTTTTAAGTCCTAATGTTCTTTTGCTAGAAAAATCTTTCTGTAATAAGATTAAAGTTTTTTTTTAATGTTATCTAATGACATAAATGAAACTGATTTTTTCAACATGAAGTCTAAAAAGTGGATGGGAGTTTCTGTGTATTTAAACAATTAAATATAACAGTTAAGTTAAAACTAGTATGTGTAAACCCTTTTACCAGGAAGAATCATATTAAGTTAATTTTTGATTATTAAAATTTGAAATTACGTTTACGTAAAAGCATATATCGAACACAACGATTATTCGTCGATTATTCAACGATTCACATGCTTGATATGTCTTATTTAACAAAACCGGATTACTCACAAGTTAAACTAAACTATATCTTTTTACTGTTCCAGTAAATCAGAATTATCTAATGATCCGATAGTGCGACAAGCAGTGAACGAACAGACAGGTCAATGGTCTCGTCTGGCAGATAGACAACGTCGTGAGGAACGTGATCTTATACGAGTTCATTTCGAGGAACGTCGAATCCAATTAAGGAAATTATGTACGGCAGCACAGGGAACTCAACAGAAACAGTTGACAGCTAGACACGAACGGGAAATCAAAGAGATGAATGCGAGACAGGCGAAGTTATCTGTAGAGAGTATGCGAGAGGTGATGAATGATAAGACCTTGAAAACACGTGGTATCAAAGAGGGTAGACTTAGAGAGAAACAACAAAACAATACGAAGAAATTTATGGAAGAACGAAAGATTGCACAGATGATTCAGAACAGGGAGAAGGAGAAGCTCAAGGTCATACACGAGAAACAAATGGAGGAACTGCAGAAAGATATGAATGCGGTAAGGGACGAGGTATATATAGTGTTGAGATTACGATAATTGTATTTTTATCGACAATTTTACTATCTTTTGTGGTATTAACAGCTATCGTCTGTTGATTTAATATGTTGGTTTAATTTTATCATTCTAAGATGCGTTTTTGTGTTTATGTTTAGATAATGGATGTATACAAGAACGAAGAAATGGAATACGAATTGGGACCGAAGACCGAATTTTACGCGTGATTTGATTTCAATGATGTATCAATTAAATAGTTCCAAGTCACGTGATCGTCCACAAGAAACGAATATATTTAGAAATTCTTAACTATATCGGATACGCTGTATCAGTAATTATAATTGGAATTGGGATCAAGCATAATTAGTTGTCATTCTCGAATCGCTCATCGTTCATTTCGTAGCTGCAAGAACGTTGGGGGATACGATAGGGACAAGTTAATCAAAACTTAACGTACCTAGTTAATTGTTCTGAATATTTTTTTATAAAAAAAAGAAAAAGAAAAAAAGCAAACACAAAACAAAAAAATGAAAGAAAGAAAGATAAAAAAAGCAGTATATATATATATATATATATATATATATATATATACCTTATACCTCCGCACTGTCCGTCGCTGCGTGAGCAAAACTATTTAGGATAATAAGAGAGTCAATAAAACTAAAAAGTGATCTAGTCAAGTTCTCCTATAATGGTAATAATAATAATTATAAAATATTTTATACATAGACATAGTTATACATACATATGTATATGTATGGGTACGTTTATGTATTAGTATTTTATATATCTCATGGTACAATATAATGTACATGAAAAAAATACAATAACGATTTAATATAATAATACAAAAAAAAGAGTATATATATTATATTATATATATTAATATTATATAATATTAATATTAATATGTATATATATACATAGTGTAACGTATAATGATGCGTTAATATTATAACAACGTGATGCAACAACAAGGCCGTTCGAATTAGCACACCATTGAATTTATTGAACTAGATATTTTTTGATCGTCGAATTCTATTGAACGTGCATTTATGCGAATATATTTTTTTCCCATAAATGAACGTATCTATTTATGCCTAATTACAGTGTTTAACTGTGATGATTTCACGACCATTAAACAATACGATGATAATATCTTGAGAGTATAAACTTAAAACGAGGAATTAAATAGTCGATTTAAATATTGTATCGGCTAGAATTATTTAGAATATTAAGTAACAGCTCCTTGGAGTCATTTCTTCGGACTGAACGCGTATAATTATTAAAAAAGAAAATAAATAAATAAATATATATATACATATATTATACCACTTTGATTATCGTTCATCTTTTTAAGAAAAATTTATCTTGTGTCAAAAGTGGTTTAAAAAAGAAAAAAAAATAAATACAAAAATAAAAATTCGCGAGCCAAATATATCACTGTAAATAGCTTTAAATCAAAGCCTAGTATAAAACAAAACATTACAAATACCACGTCGTTGTTTTCATAATAATAATAATAATAATAAAAAATAATAATAATTCATAATTAAAAATATTATTTACGAGTAAGTTGTTATACTAATTTATACGTACATATATGTGTACTTGTGTTGAACGTTTGTGTACGAAACTTGGAGTACATACAACGACACATATACGTACGTATGTGTATAACGAAAATTAAAAAATATATTATATATATATAATATATTTATATATACATACATACATATATATATATATATACATACATATATATATATATATATACATACATATATATATATAAAACAAAATAAAGAGATTATTAGTTAAGTATCGTAAATCGTTTATTATCAACGTTTATTAAAAATATTTGTCTTCTATGTACAAGTTTTTATATATGATGTCCGAGATCATGATCGAAATGATTTTCATAATGTTCATCAAAATATGGATGATCTTCCGTTTCCAGATTATGATAGGTTGGCACGAATCCATTAAAAGTAGATATTTCTAAAAGTACATAATTAATATATTTATACACGTTAGAATTTCAATTAATGATGAAAACTTAAAGTACATTATTTACCTGCATTTGATTGATCAACGTGTCCTAATTCTTTGATACGTTCTAAAATTGGCACGATATCCGTGTCATGATGCACCGTCAAACCAAAATCATTCAACGCTTCATCCGCGTAATTCGAGGAATGAGAAACGCCTCTATAATTATTATTGACATGTACGTTTTGATAGCTGGTTGCACCGTGTCCATGATATATCGTTCGAAAATTTGGGAAATGTTCGTACTCAAATTGACGTGGTATCCTAGCTGCCTCGCACATTGCTATTGCAACGACATATAACTAAATAAAAATCAAACACGATAAATTAAGTCAACATTTTTTTTTTTAATATTTCAATAAAAATAAAATATTCGTCTTTTCGCTCCGAATAATTATTACTCAAGGAGAAATATTTTACATTAATATAAATAAAGTATATTTGGTATTCGGTATTCGTTGGATACATCAAATATTGTGTTTTTTAGAAAATTTTTTACTTATTTAAAAATAATATTCAATATATCTATATAATTGAAAAATAATTATATCTATTCCCCAGAATGCTAAATAATTGTTTACCGATTTAATAAAGTTTATTTGAGAATATTCGCAAAATCGAATCACGGCCGGTTCTCGGAAAGAAATAATAACTATAAATGAATATATTAATTATTTGCACAATTTATAAATCAGCGCGATACTTTCGTACAACGAAAGAAATCTAACATTTCTAGAAATATAATATTTTTAAGAATTGTATTATATCTAATAATTAGGTTTTAAAAAAATCCTAGATAGAGAAATATTCAATAATGTATCAATTCCGTAAGTGATATATTCCATTTGCACTAATCACATTAAATTCGAAAGATATTTAAGCGAAAAAAGTTAAAATAAACTCACAAAATGTTTCATAGTTGAAACAATAATCCTAAACTCGTTGAACAGGCTCGTTATTTCTACTGTGCATCTCTCAGAAACGACGTTAGTTTTTATACTCGGATGCTCCGAAAGTAATGTTGAAATATCTCATGTGAATATCCACTGTTAAGTATTAACGGATGTTTATAATCGCAATATTCTATGGCGTATCTTTTCTCAATGACAGGATATATCATGGATTCATGATCTTGAGTTTTACGTGGGTATGGGAAGGTTGAGATTTGGTGTAGAGAGTTCGAATAAGCAACCTTTCAACAAAATTTCAAAATGAAAATTAAATGTACGTTGCCGAAGGCGTTGTGCAATTAACTGCGTGTAGCGTTACGAGTTGTTTCTGACGAAACAAAGATGGTTCTTTGAAATATCTTGAAAAAACCTCGATTTGTATTTATGCTTAATTAGTTTTTTATCGTATCATTGATTTCTAAATAATTCAAAAGATATAGGTAAATGGTTGGTTTAATTATGTCCATTTTAAGAATTTTCTTTGCATAGTTTCTACAATTACTGTAGAAGAATGTTAGTTGTTAAATGATTATAAAAACGATATAATGATTCTGGAATGGTTCTATTCGAGAATTATTCAACGATAACTTTCAGTGTTTACGTAAAAAATTAGAATCCAATGTGTGATTTCGTAAGTATGAGAGAAAGATATATAGATACTTACACAAAATTTGCCAGATCCCCAATAGACAGGAAGGAAGTTGAAAGAATAATAAGACTATTTTTAAAAGTTAAAGCGTGGGATATAATAAAAACTTCATTATTGCCGTAATCACGTAAGACAGATTTATTTGTTGGGTGAATAGATTACAAATGTGTAAACTTTTTTATTAAATTATGATCGATAAATGTGGCTCATTATGGCAGTTTAATTCATGCTCAATAAGTTTCTTTGATTGCTTTAAACAAATCGTTTTTTTTTTTCGTGCGAGCTATCAGTTTATCCCCTAATTTTATAACAAAAAAATAAGAGATATAGACGATTAATTAAATTAGATATTTTTCTTTTTCCTCGGGGTTAAATTCATTTCAGTATTTCAATCGCACATAGGTTTAGCTATTTTGACGATAGCAGGGGCGTGATGAACAGGTGCAGGTGGAAGATAGACAGGTGGATGAATCATTGGCGGTGGTTGTGCAATTTTAACGTAAGAAACTGGTGCTTGTACATGGATAACTTTAGCTGGTGGTGGTGGGGGTGGAACGTATGTAATTGGATGTGATTTTTGATAAACGACAGCTGGTTTTTGATAAACAATTCCTGGTTTTTGATAAACGATTTGCGTTTGAACCGCAGGTACTTCGAGTTTTTTCACGTAAATTTTTGGCATCTCGTACATTGGCTTTTGATAAATCGGTGCGTAAGTATACGACGGTTTTTGATATATCACTTTAGGCGGTGTATATTCTGGCATCCATGGTTTGACAACTGATTGAACAGGATGTACCGAATAGGATGGTGCATGAACTGGTTGATAACTGACTACTTGCGGCTTAACGTAAGTCACATGCTGTTTTGGAATGATTGAGTAACTTGGTTGATGACTTAAGGTGTAATGTGACTGTAGTGGTGGTTGATGAACTGTCACTTCCTTTTTCGGATAACTAGGCTGTTCATAGGCTTTTATAAGATAAGATGATTGATGATAAGATGGAACGTGATACTGTGGTGGACAAGGCGGCTGAACATAATGTCTTTTCAATTTGGTCATCGAAGAATCAATTGTACCGGAATTCATCATTTCCGTATCCATATGTTCAACGCCGTGCGAGCGGACACTCGCCAGCCATAAAAGGCATGGTATCTGTAGATTAGAAAAAATTATAATGAACAAAAAAAAAGAAAGAAAATAAATAATAATCTTAAATTAGAGGTATCGTTTTCTACATGAATATGAAACATATTTTAACGAGCACTTAAGAAGAAGATGCCTCAGGTTGACAAGATTTCACTTTTAAATAAGAAAAGATAAAATGTAGAAAAAGAAAAGAAAAAAAAAATGATGATATGCAGCAGAAGCGTGTTAGGATTCCCTCGTGCTTAAAGAGATTGTATCGTTTAATATTGTAGAGAGTAAAGCGTCAAATAAAAAAGCGTATCGTCGAATATGCGTTTCGCTTACCAGTAACCTCAGCATGATTATGTCTTATGTCTTCTCTCGCTCTTTTAATAAAAATCTAAAAGAAGAAGAAGAAGAAGTATGTGGATAGTAAAGAGAGATGGATATCAGATAAACCGATAGAATGAATGTTCTGAACTAAACTAGAAGCTCCGTCTTGGGTACTTGCCGGTTTTATAAACTTTAGCACCTATTATGCGGCACAGGTTTTCTCGTTGACCAACGCCGATTGAGATTCCCTTAAGCGGCGTAAAAAAGTAGTCGTTTCTTTGCTCCAAGCCCTGTGTCTCTCAGATGTGATGCAATTGCTCGCGCCCCGGTATTTCCTGAATAAATTCAGTTACTCTCGTAAGAAGTTATATTTGTGTAGGTACATGTACATGTGGGTATCTATCTGTCCACCTCAGGCACGATCGAATAGTTCACGTTCTAGACCAATGCGGTAAACCGTTTACGACACACAACAGGGACAAAACCATTTCAAATTGACTAGCATTGGGCTAGCAGGACTCAAAGATTGCTCCAAGGTATTATGCCCGAAGTTACGATCGTGACGTTATAACATCAGGGACTACTGTTATTTTACATCCGCATTTTCCTCTAAAAGATATAGTGATTTTAAATGATTTGTTTGATTGTGCCTTTTATTTTGTTTATATTTTATTTTCTTCTTCTTCTTTTTCTTCTTTCTTGCCCTGTAGTACTTTACCTGCAATCTATGAAATTGCCTTAGGTGGCATATGGAGCTAATAAATTACGAAATGATCAATGACGTTGTCTTGACGATCACTATGAATTACAAGGATCTTATGAAACGGTTATAAAAGTTGTGTGTTTAAAAATAAAAAATGCACGATCATTTAGTCTTATTGAATTGATGGATTATATTTCTTGCTAAAGTGTTTCCAATAGGCGGGCGGTCTTTGTTTTTAAATCTTAACGTTTAACGGGGTCAAATGTATCCCATGAGTTAATGATTCTTAGATTTTAAAAAAGGTAATGTTGCTGCGATAGAATGTTGCTCGGTTGAACGTTAACTTGGTAAGCCTACAATTAAGCCTCGTACTTTCGAATCCTTTCAGTCATCCAAGCAATCTAACTTAAACGGTCATGTCACCCGAGGGAGGAAAGTGATCACCCAAACTACCCGCGTACAAATAAATCATTATTTTATTCAACAATGAAACAACAATACATAACATTGGTAACGAGTATATTATTATTTACAACAACACATAACACCTATTTAAATCTAATTTAGTTTAAATACTTAATTACTAAGCTAACCTAAGGTTATTTTTTTTTTACTTTTCATTATTTATAAATTTTTTTGGCAATGAAATTATTAAATTAACGTTTCAATTGGCATTAACGGTGCTTCCAACCATGATGTCCTTTACTTTGATGATGAAAAACGTGCTTATAAACTGGCACATGTACAGGATATGGTTTTGGTATCGGTACTGGAAAATGTTTCTCGACAGTTACTGCATATGGTTTCTCAACCACGTATGGTACCTAAAAAGTATTGCCTTTTTATTTCATTGATACATATATGTACTTCGTATACTTTCATTATAGATAAAAAAAAATTACAATCGAAAGTAATGTATTATAATATGTGATTAAGGTCGATAAAGTAGAAATTATTGTTTAGTTTACTATCTTGACTGTGGTTTACACATTTACCGATCGATCAACACTTACCTTCTTTTCAACCACGTATGGTTCAGGTTTTTCTACAGGAATCTCAACGTGTTTAACAACTTCCACGGGGACCGGATGTGGCACTGGTACCTGTACTTGATACGGTTGCGGTATCGGTACTTTAATTTGTTGTGGTATTGCTACTGGAACCGGGTGTGGAATCGGTATAGCATATTTTTTATAAATCGGTATTTCCACGGGTTTGGAAGTTTCGTGATACGTAGAACCACCATGATCCTCTTCATAACCAGCCCAGACAGCAGCCACTATTGTGGCTAAAATCTATATTACAAATAAATAACATAGTCATATTAATTTAAATTCAGGATTAATAAAATTATCGTCGATTGTACGAACACGCTCGTTTTGACTAAATTATTTTTTTGTTTAAAATATTTTACATACTGATTATTTGTAATGATTATTTTATCGTTTAGGATGTATTTTGTATTACTCACTAAAAGTTTCATCGTTCCAAAAGACTTGCGCGAAGATACTCTCGCAAATCCGTTCGTAGTATGTTTCACCGTCTCTTTGATACTTTCAAAGTCACGGCCAAGAGTTTATATACCAATGCAACTTTCTCCCTTCTCCTCATTACACCAACAGTAGATGATCTCTAAGCGTTTAAGTGAGTGTACAGCCTTCCATCATACATTCGTATAAATGTAATCGTAATTCTGGGTGTGGACTCTCAGGAGCAACGTTCTGTTTTACGTTCACTAACACCAATACAATTATTATTTTCGCGTATAAATCATATCGAATGAAAGTTAGTTCATCAATCATGTTAAGATCATCGTTAAAAATTAAAAAATGATTGTTCTAACGACAAAATGAATGCCGATAGAGTTTTACTTAAATAAAAATATGAATACTCTCATTTTAATTTCATGAGATGAATTGTTTTATTATTATAAAAATAATACAGAATTGAAAGTTAAGACGGAGAGAGAGTTCTGATTCTTTGTTTTTGATATATTTTTTCTTTCATAAAAATTATTAAAATTAGTATAATAGATTCTCTTCTCATCGATAGAAAACGAGACAAAGAACCGATTATACGGCGTAACGTAATGTCACGGTCTAATTTTTTGTGCCTAACAATCTGTGAAATATTGCCCCTTCTATAGGATCATATACAAATTAAAGAGGGAATATTTAAATGCCGATAATGCTATAGAGGGGAGGGGAGGAGATAAGATATATGAATATATCGTTTGATTAAGTATTATCTACTCTTCACAAAAGTTTCGCAAAGTTCAGCGGATCGTAAAAATTCAAAACACCATCGGAATATATATTCTCAAGATTTTTTCGATAGAATTTTAATTAATTTGAACCATGATAACATGTAAATACTTAATCAAAAGAAAAATAATTTAACTTTCAAATGACGAAAAAAAAAATCATTTACAATTAAATCAGTCTTCTATAAAATGTTGAAATTTATTTCTTAACAAACGTTAGATCTTGTATATAAAAAATGAAACGGATAATTAAAGGACATTGACGTGAGTTAAGTGAAAGAAAGTCTGATATCGTTTTACGTTAATTCACATTATTGACGTAAATACAAAACAAAATGAAAGAAAAAAAGAAATGATAAAAAGAATAATAAAAAATACTAAATACGCTTACGTTTGGTATATTTATTTATATGTATTTCTAAAAGGTAAGATCATACGAGAGGTGTGGCCAAGTGAGTTAGTCGATCTCGAGATTCGAATCGTCGGTGATTCTATCCTGTGTATCTCAGAGCGGAACAGTGAAAGTGCATCCCAAGTAAAAGTGGTTTCACACGTCTGCGCAAGGAACGCTCGTCAGGTCTCAACAAACCGAGTCAAGCAAGTAGCCATCTAACTTGTTATGGTGAATCAAGATCACCATATCTGTTGTTTAGTTTTGTTTCTAATGTTAGAATCGTAACGATGAAACAAATGAGGAAATTCAATGCCGGATTACACGGAAATGGCTTTTGCTACCATTTTGTGCATTCTGTTTTTTTTTCTTTTTCCATTTTTAAATTTTTTTTCCGGAATTAAGTTATAGGAAGAGGCAGAAAAAGAAGAGGAAGAAAATCATACCGCATTGGAATTAAATTCGTCACGATTTATGGATCATCGAGTTCATTTCAAATTGAAAGTCTAATGAAGTAGTAACGTTTTACAGATTCGTTTTTTTTTCAAGTTCTGGTATTTATTTATTTTCTGTAATGTGTTTTTTCTTTTTTTTTTTTTAACTCGAAAAGTAAGGGAGATACAATATTTTTGTATATTTCTTTCTTTATCTTTTATAAAATATGTTGATAAAAACTTAACAAGTAATGTAAAAACAAGTAACAAAATTATTAACAAATATAAAATTCTCTAAAAAACGATCATAATAAATTAACAACGTTCTTAAAATTAATATGTTGATTAAATGTCTTCTGGGTACACAGAATCGTTTTTTTTTCTTCTCCTTCTTCTTCTTCTTCTTTTTCTGTTTCTTTAATGCCATCCCTTGCCCTTTGACGTGTGGTGAAATACATGTTTGTAAATTGGAACGTGAACAGGATAAGGTTTCGCTACTGGAACCGGAAATTTCTTTTCGACGTAAACTGGATATGGTTTTTCTACTACGTAAGGAACCTGAAAATAAAAATAAAATGAGCTCATTAGAAACTCATTTAACGTTAAAAACAAATCAATAACTTTGATTGCATCATAAACTAATCGAAATGATTGTTACATAATTTTATAACGTATTTTATGGTAATTAAATTATTATTGAGGTAAATAAAAATTGTAATTTTGGACAGTTTTATTGACCAATTAAAAATACTTACATGTTTTTCGACGACATAAGGTTCCGGTTTCTCTACAGGTACTTCAACTTGCTTGACAACTTCGACAGGATAAGGTTGAGGAATTTCAACCGGCACTTGATAAGGTTGAGGTATTGGTATTTTGATTTCTTGAGGGATTTCTACCGGCACCGGATGTGGTATTGGAATAGCTGCAAGCATTTCAAATGTTGGGAAATGTTGATACAAATTTTAACGAATATTTTTTAAAAAATAAGGAATTTTATTATTTTTACCATATTTTTTGTAAATTGGTATTTCAACTGTCTTTGATTTTTCTTCGTAAGTTGATTGACCGTGATCTTCATCGTAATGACCGGCGAAGGATGAGCCGATTAAAGCCAAAATTATTATCTGAAAAAAATTTATATTATTTTTCCTATTACAATTATTTATCATATAAACATTGAATATATAATATTTATATACAATTATATTCTTATCGCATATAAATACTGTATTTCATAAATTATTTTTATGTATTACGTAAATGAAAACCAAAAAAAAAACTAAATTTTATAGATGATTTAATCTGATTAGTTAATTATTGAATAATTACAATGATTTATTTATTAACAATAATCGAAATAATAAGATCTTACGATCGAATTCATGTTGCAAATAAAATCGATTGGAAGGGTGTAGTACGTTAGAAATCAAACCACGAGTGTTGACAGGGTTCGAATAGCCTGCTTATATACTATGGTGAATTCCACCACCTTTCACTAAAATCTTACGGGACGGTGGATCGCCCTCTCGGAGGGCTCGGAGCGAGAGAAGAAAGAAAGGGGGTGGGAGTAACGAGAAGTACGTGTTACCACTACCAGTATCCTGTCTTCGCCATTCGTCTTGGTCTGACGATGCAAATACACAAGTCATAAATAAAATTTTCTAAAAAATGAATTGTCACGTCCTTGACAAGAAAAAGTTCATTGAACGATTCGAATAATTTCATTGACATGTTCAACAAATTTACTGATTTATGAGAAACGGTGTTATGTAGAAATTGTACAGATAAGTAAATAGGGTGAAAAAAGAAAAGAAAAGAAAAGAAGAAATATGAAGAGAAAAATACAATAGAAAAATAATTTTTTAATTTACAATTTACAAATTGTTCGATATTACATAAATTAGATTCGGTGTTACGTAAGTGGTGTATAGAAGAAAAGAAAATATTATGGTGAAAGAAAAAATAAAGAAGGAAGAAAGGAGTCATGACATCAATGAAAATCAGAAATGCTTATACGCCTTGAGGCAACTAATCGATCGTTCGAGTTCTTACAATTACCGGAAGTGAAGGGTACAGTCTCGTTCTAAGACGAGAAAATCTCCTGTTCGAAATAGGATTATACTTTAGTAGAGTCTTGCGTTCTCTTGTCATAACCGTATTTCCACTAAGCTCGTTTTAACATTTGAGAAAATCATCTTCTTAGATAACGAAGGGATGTGTTTTCCTTTCAACTTCTTACAGATATAGTGAAAAATTCTTAGCAGTATAACGATAAAAATCTATGAAACAAGAAAAAGAAAGAAATAAAGAAAGAAACAAAGAGAAAAATATAAAACCATAATTCCAAATAAGAATTTTCAACCGAATGATTTTCCTAACGTAAAATGTCTATCAGAAATAAATCTTCTTATATTTTTATTTATCCAAATAAAAAATTCCTTTCGATAGACTATGTGAATTCAATTTTTATAATACGATTATAATGAAAATAATTATTTTCATTATAAAAAAAGAAACAATATTTTAAATAAATTATAGTATAAATTTTATTAATAATAAGATTAATTATTTGTGATATGAAATAAATCGTGATATAAATTAATGTTAATTATATTTCTTTTTTTTTTTTTTTTTGAGTACTAGTACCACTGAAATAATTAGAAGTACAAATGGATCAATAAATTTATTATTATATGGACAGTTTCCTGCATGTACAGGAAGCATCGAACTACACTATTCGATTTGCTTCATATAAATGAATTTCATGGTGAACGGCCAATCAAAGATCTTATTTTAAATCAAGGGAAGTTCTGTCAATAATGAAATAAATATAATTCTTACTTTTAAACCTTCTTTCCTTCCTGCTCCTCATCCTCCTCCCACCTCCTTACCCCTCAATCAGAGGAGTTACATAGATACAACTAACAAAAAATAATAAAGAAGAAAAAGTTAGATATATATATGTATCTATCAAATGAAAGCTACCTCTTCAGAAACTACCCATTTCATATTCATATTTGATCTACGTTCACTCGAAGGACTCCTAAACCACAATCATGTACCGCAATGCAACTACCTCTGTGTAACTCTGAAATTTACCGGAAGTGAAGGTTGTTGGGTAGACATGAGTAGCTCTCTGACAACGAATTACGAGTTAATTTTTTAATCTTTTTGCAAACTATGTTACCAGAGATATGAAAGTTTTGGAAAGATGTTACTTCGTTTCAATTATTTATTGCTAGCAGAATCGACAATTTTTAACTCTAAATAATCGTCTATTAGATTTTTCAAAAGAAATTTCTCAAAAAGAATCTTTTAATAATAGTAAATACTGCCTTTCAAACATTTATTGCAAATAATCCGTTCACGAAATCCGCTCGATTTATCTGGTTTTTTTCTTCTTTTTTTTTTTAGGTATTTGAATAAAACGACATTTTTCAAATATTTACCTTAGAATGGGTAAAAAAATTTGTAATAATATAGAATATTCATTCTTTACACATTTTTTTTTATTGATCATCTTTATAATAAAATAAAAGCTTATACACACAGAATTTTATTTTATTTTAAATATTTACTCCATACACAAGAGAAAAAAATTTCTCTGAGTTTTTGTGTTATTTTTTTGTATTCAGTTTTTAATATTTAGATTTTATAATTAAAATACTCAATAAGAAAGAATAATGCAGGTCATAATTTAATTTGAATGAGGAATTTTAATTCAGATATCTTATTTTTTTTATTTTTTTTTTTTTTTAACACAATATACGAAAACAAAAAGCAAAAGAGAAAGAGATATATAGAGAGAGAAATCGGAAGTCTGAAACGACATAAGCTCTACGACATAGATAACGTATAATACTTATATTCTTGGATGAACGGCTCGATGCTCCCGAACTATCATTTCGCCATGGAAAGTTTGTCTCGGATTTCGTTAGATTCGAAAGGCTCTGTTATTTCCAATAAGAACATTTTTTAAGAATTTATTATTATTATTTTAATATTTTTATTATAGTATATCGAATACGTATAAAATAACGTATCTATTATCCTTTATTTATCTTATCTTTATTTTTTTTTTGAAACTATAATAGTATTGAATTATCATCAATATCAATCATTTCAATGTTGTTATCAATTTTTGTTACATTAATAAAATATAATAAATTTTGTTTAAATAGAATATCGAATTATAATATCTTCTAAATCTTATCGTAAATATTTTTTCACACACTGTATTATAAAATATATATAAATAAATTTTAATTGTATTGTTACGTAGATTTGTTATGAAGGATAAGAAATATTTTTTTAACTATAAGAAATCAAGAAAGTAGGAAAATTACAATTAAGAAATTAATAATATAGGTTTATTGTTATGTAGGGTTATTCTTTCCTAATTTTTTTTTTTTTTTTTTTTAATATTACCATCACGGTGATAGTTCTGGAGAGTAAGTTAAGTTAGAATTTTACTTTCGCCATAAACTACCTCTTCTTTTACCACATCTTTCTTTTCTACTTCTTTTTCAGTATTATTTATTTCAACTTTTTTACACAAATGCATATATATGTAGACTCATGTGATATATTTTTTTCGAATATTCCTTTCGCATACCGCGAAATTATATAAGAAGAATATAATTGTACGTTTCAAGTATTTATCGCGTGTTTTCAGACCTAAAGAAGAAAACAATGAGAATTATTTTTTCTTTTTTTTTTCTATAATCATTATTATATTCAGATGAATAAAACGATCAGTAAACATGAGCGTGAAATGTTTGCTTTCCCCATCGATTTTTTACGCTAAGGTATTTTCTTTCTTCTTCTTAAAAAGAATAAAAAAAATGTTCAGTCTATCGTGAATCTCAGTAATCAGAATTTCGGAAGAGGAAATGAAATTTAAAGTTAATTTTTATGTTTAGTTCCTTATTCTTTATTACGTGTTATACCCTAAAATAATTATATTATTTAATAATAAATAATAAATATGTAAATTAATGATTGTACAATAGTATAATTATACTAATATTTGACAATTAAATATTTATAATATAAATTATAAAAAGACATGAAAATAATTATTATCCGAATAAAAGCATAATAATTTTAATCGAGTTAGAATTTTTATCCAATCAAAAAATTCTTCTACAACCGAGCAAGTTTTCAACATAGATACTTAAGAAATTACGTTAGAAGAACCCATGTTACACCTTAAGCAAAGAAATCGTTTAACTTTTTTCAAATTTCTTTTATACGTCGCCAATTTTCTGACTGATACGAATCTGATCAATTACTATACCAGAAGAAGAATTTTTTTGGTATTCGAAAGGAAAGGTACTTCTTCCGGCCATTCACTCTAAATGCACACGTATACGAACTTATATTTAAAGTTCATCGACTTTTTGGTAATTTGAAATATCAGATCGTTACCATAGTCTTGTCTACTTTAATTTAATTTTAATGGCCGATTATTATCTTACTTTTGGTGAGAGGTAATATTGTCGAAGTTCACTTCTCTCATTAATTTACGGTTCGTCAAATGAAAACTTTTACTTCCTTCCTTTCTTTAATGAATAATATTATATAAGTATTGACAAGTTTCTTCGAACAATGTTTTACAATTTATGTATTAACGTTCTAATAAATGCAATAAACTAAGTTACATAATTAATAATCAAACATGACAATCAAATTCTAATAAAGATCATGTAATAATATTGCTCATAATGATTAATAATGCTATTCGATAAATTTCTTTTTTAAATTCTCATAAATATATTTCCATCGTCAAAGTTTTTTTAACGAATATCTATATAAATTTCTTATTTTATATTCTTTAACGAATAAATCTTACAACTCCGACAAATAACATTCTATAATTATCTCACACAAGAATCTCACTATCTTTCGGCATTGAATAATAGTCTTTATTTGAAGGTAAGATTCTCCTAATTACCCAAACATTTACCTACGAAATTAGAAGGGTTCATTTCTCACTCGGTTTTGTTACTACGGGTTTAATTCCCTTACCAATAAAATTAGGAACACAAAATGTACATTTGCATTCTTGAGCTAAGATCCTTTTCTTACTGTTTAATTAATTTAAAAATATATCAACAAAATAACAAATATTTCACATTTTAAATATCAACAACAATTTATTTATTTACATATAACAATAAAACTTCATCATAAATAAAATTAGATAAAAATATAATTGTGTCATTTTAATGTTGCAGGATCTAGTAGTGTTTGTAATGTTTTGATTTGTGCACTATTGTTTTATAAATCGGTATCTTGATCGGTATTGGTTTTAATACTGGTACAGGAATATGTTTGTATACTTTAAAAGGTACTGGTTTTTCAATTTTATAAGGTACTATCTTTTCGACCGGAGTTGGAACTTTCTTCTCAACTTTCGTAATCACTGGTTTTACTACCTGCAAATTTGATATGGAGATATAATTGTCATATAAATTCTAGTATCATTAACTTACTCGATTAATTAGTATGACGTTTTAAAACTTACTTCGTATGGTACAGGTTTAGGAACAAAAACGTTTACAGGATATGGTTGAGGCTCCGTTTGCACCATTAGTTTAGGAATGTTGATTGGAACATTTTTCACCACTGGTACACCTAAAAATAATAAATAATTAATTGAAAACAAGAATTAGAATAAAGTGTTTAATCAATGATATATTATATTATATTCACCAATATGTTTGACGGAAGGAATAAAATTTAATCCATGACCATCATAACCACCATAACCACCGTGACCACCAAGAGATATTCCAGAATCCCAGCCACCTCCTAAGTGACCTCCCCCTAAGATCAATAATTATCCAAGATTATTTGTTAGCAGACGATCAATGGGGCTTTGTTAATGACCCCCTGTCAAAGCAGTTTCACCTAAATCTATGGCCGGTAATTCGTCTCCATGATGAACTGAAATTTCTCCTAGAGTGAGACTACCTCCATAATGACCTCCTAAATCAAAACCGCCATAATGACCTCCAAGAGATAGACCATCAAAACTTAATCCAGATCCATGAGAGTAACCAATGATGGTAGTGCACAATATGAAAGCTTTCTAAACAAAAATTTGCACGACACTTTTAATCACTATTTTAATTACCTCATTATATTGATATATTTGTTTCTGTTTTTTTTTTGTGTATTTTTTGTATTTTTTTTTTTTCATTTCAAATTATTAACACACTTGATAAACATTCTTTTTCTTTTTTTTTCTTATTTTTAGGTGCCAAAAAAAAGTTAAAGAAAAAGTCATTGATGTGATGCCAAGGGTTTATATTGGTTTAGCATTTAAAAGTATCATCGAAATTAACACTCATTTACGTACGATCCTAATCATATTTAGCCAAGTATATGCATCTGTGCTCCTCCTGTAGAAATAAGTTCACTTGTGATAAATTCTTTAAGTGTCACTTTATATACCTCTTACCATGAGACTGACCACTGCCCCACTATTTTCCACCTTCACTGTACCTAGTTGCTCGATTTGTGGAAATACTACTGCGGTTATTTTGTTCGCCCCATTTTTCAGTTCATACTGAAATTGCGTAACACTTTATTTCCGTCTTTTACTTATCACAATCATTAAAAAATTATTTTTAATATTCTATTATTAAATTCTGCTCTTCCTGGAATCTAATTAAACTTAGAAACGTAATTTATTCAATCGAATTCAACAATTTATAATAATAAAAACAAAAGAATTATTTTTAAAAAAACTCATTTAAATATCTATAAATGAAAAATATTGGAAGAAAAAAAAAATATAAAAAACATAAATAACTTTCTAAACGTGATTTATATTAAAAATATAATTATATGATCATTGGTGTCTCCTTTAAGAAATTGTATTAAATTAAAAAGAAAGTTTAAAAAAAGGATAATATAATAAAAATTTAATGAACGTTCATTTTGTTATTGTTTAGTTCATTAATGCGACTTAAATAAATGTGAATGAAACAAGAAGGCTAAGGCTAAGGCTAAGGCCGCCATAGTTGTTGTCTCTTCTTGATCTTATTAAATAGTCACGCCTCATTTACATCAAACGATTACATTGATTTTATTTCGAACGGTTGGATTAATTCGACTCAGCCATTCGCTTTCCATGGAATCCGTGGCAAATATATTGAAATTTTGCAGTGAAAGCCTCAATTATATTTCTTTGCGTGCGGTTTACACGTGGATCCATCACGTTCGACTATTCTACGGAAAATGGAAGATAATAGTAATGGTGGATGTTACTTACGTACGTGAACATAATATTCAAAATTAAATCAAAACTTTATTGGACGTTTTAAATTTAATCTATGTCCCATTAAAATAGTATTATACCTTAGATTATTATAAATACTATAATACTGCTATAATACGTATAATAATTGATATTACTATTATATATTTAAATACTTTAAATAAATCTGCAAATTAAATTCTTATATATATATGATGATAATAATAATAATAATAATAATAATAATAATAATAATAATAATAATAATAATAATTTAATTATTCGTGTGTAATAAAATAGAAAATTTCTATCAATTTAAAAAAATTTGATGATCAAATCGAAAATAATGGAAACAATTTATAACAAATATCAAATTATTTGAACATTAAAAGTGTTCATAGATACAATCTATGTTTAGAAGGATTATAGTTAATTACGAGTGAAATTGAGTGTCTCTGGCGGAACGACGTTTTATGTTATACCAGAGGACGATAAACTCTAATGTATATTTTCTACGATGCATCTATTTTCTCTGAAATGAAAAAAAAATACTCATACAACCTTGAGAGGTAGCTGTGTAAGAGGAATACATTCACTTGGATAAGACTTTCACTGATGTGAGACTTGAGATTAGGGGAAAAAGCTTTAATGTTTTTTACGCGATTTTATATTTTATTTCTTTTTATTGAAAAACAAAAACAATGATGTACAAAAATATAACGTTATTGTAACAATGTAGCACCAAAACGCACTTATAGCATAATTAATGCAATCGGTGATACCAACATGAGTATATACAATACAAAAAATAACAAATAACGTAACAAATTGGACCCTAAAATATTTCTTAAAGAAGTAACAACGAAGAGATTTATATGTCTCGCGTATTTCATTCTCAACGTATCCAGTCGTCTTGATTCAGTTTATACCGTACCTATAAATTTCCTCAAAGACGAAAGAAAATTCTCTGTTATTTTTTTTTTTTGTATTCTAGTGACCCTTTTTCGCATGATGATAGATAGTTTTATAGACAGGAATCCTGATAGGGTAAGGTTTAACTACTGGCACTGGCACGTGTTTTTCTATTGTTATGGGAACATGTTTTTCAACGGGTACAGGTATATGTTTTTCTACTGGATATGGAACCTTCTTTTCGACAGGTACAGCAACCGTCTTCACTATTTGGATTGGGACAGGTTTAGACACGGGTACTGCAACTGGGTATGGTTGTGGAATCCCAACGGCAACTGGATGAGGGACGCCAATTTTGACCGGATGTGGTACTGGTATACCTAAAAATGACATAAATTAGTTGAACATGATATTAATCTGTTCTTTTTGTTTTTTGTTTCAGGTAGGACTTACCTATCTCCTTGTAAACTGGTACAGCCACAGGCTTGGTAACTTCAACGTGTTCTGATACTGGTACGCTGTGAACGTAATTATGACCACCGTCTAATGAAATTCCATGACCACCCTCATCACCACCATGTCCACCACCATATCCACCACCATATCCACCACCATATCCACCACCATATCCTCCGAGAGACGAATAATCCTGATGTCCTCCATCTAAATGACCACCACCCGATTCGAAGTGTCCTCCGGAAGCTTCGAAACCACCACCTCCGTGACCACTGGAATAGTCACCACCACCATAGCCACCACCATCTCCTGAAGTTCCATAACTTTCTTGATCCGATCTTTTAATATTTTGCAAGTGTCGAACTATTCGCATTAAATCCTCATGACTGTAACGTTGATCCACTATTACTGGCGCGGCCGTGGCCAAGGATAACAGTGAAAGTAATACCTGCGAACGAAGGTTAAGTTCAAGTCTAAAATACCTGTTTTCTAATCGAGAAAGATAAAAAAAAAAGGAATCACCAATTACGCGTGAGAAGTCAAATTAAGATAAGATAAGCTTGGGGAAAAAAAATAAATGTACTGAAGTTGTTGTATCGAATTTAAAAACAAGAAAAAAATGAATTTCCGGTGTCTTTCACCTCAAATATCAAGAGAAATCGTGTCAACAATTTCATAAATTTACTCTGCAACTAATAAGTTTTTTTTTTAAATTACTAATTCTTTTTTTCTATTTTTAAAAATTAATCGTTAAATGTTAAATGTCGTGTGTTCTATTTTCTTTTCTTCGTAGTTTTTCATCCAATTTTTATTTTTCTTTCTCCTATCTCTACTCTACTCACGATTTTATTCATGATCGAACACGCGTCTCTTTGTACAAAGTGCAAGGTTGCCTTGTTGTTAGAAGAGATTTCTTACTGAGACTGATACATCTTCGAGCATAGCTCGTCTTAATATACCATGGGGCCTTTCACTGTCGACGATGTAATTTAGTCTCAGCTAAGCGTGCTTGGAATCCCATTTAATATGTACAATTGTTTTACCGTAAACGCTTCGCCGAGCACGTGAAAATAATTGACTACTTCGTACTATTCCCTATTCGTTTACAGTTCGGTCATTACTTATACAGTCATAAGGGTGAGCGACCATCTATTGCAAACCTTCGTGAATTTCATCTCAGATTTGCTACACATTTACGGTCCCGCTACGTTACGTCAATACTAAAACGATTCGTTTGGAACCCTTTGATCTAATCTCACTTCCGTTCACGTTTACATAGACATGAAATAAACCAATAACTATACGTATGGTTATAACATTCGTATTGGTCGTGTGTATTGCTATTTGGATTACTATTTTATGGTATAACTACATTTTGTATAATAATATAGTAGATAGTATTAGATTGTGTTAGTTATATTTTATTAATATATCTATATAATTGTATTGTAATAATAATTAAGGGATTAAAAATAATACAAATTAGTTCGTTTTAATAAATGAATATTAAAATTTGTTCAAAAAAAAAAAAGAAAAAGTAAAGAAAATGCATCGAATTAATGTCTGAACCTACTATATTATCGTGTAGATACTTTTAGTTTTAGTTGTAAATTTAAAAAATGTTACATACGATGAAATATATGACCACTTGTAAAATTTACGCATATCGATTTTAACGTAGATATAAATTATCCATAAATCAAGTTCTTAACTATGAAAATATATATTATCTATCATACTTATCCGTTGAAATTTACAAGTATCAATCCTAAGTGGATATAAATCGTGATCCATAAATCTAGTTCCAAAAGTATGATAATGTATTATCTATGTATCATACTTACTTGTCTAACAACAAAATAAACTTATGTGAAAGGAGTAAAAAGATATCAAGAAAAGAGGAATAATTTTTTAACTGACAAACCGTAACGAGAACTCGTTTGTTAACATTCTCGGGTAAAGAAGACGAGTCTTTGAGATTTAAAAAAAAAATTAACTATCGTATGAAAGTATCTGTCATAAGATACATCAACGACTACCATTCTAATCTCACTTGGCGGTTTCAAATATTAGATTGTACGATAAACTAAACTGACAAAGATAGATTCAACTTTTCTTTCCTATATACATTAGATACATTAGATATTCTAACGATATTATAATTCATACAAACGACACGTACACACGTATACATTCTATCGTAGAAATATACATTCTATCTCTAGTGTAATTAATTTTCTACCGAACACTGGGAGGGTCAGTGAAGCTTTTAGAAGCTTTTACGCGGCATAAATTACATTTACGTGCTACATCTTTCTGTAAAATATAGGGGAAAAGAACATTACGCATTTCCCATTGCGTTTCCGCTATAAAAATATTCATAAGGAAATTAATTTTTCTTTCGTTGGAAAAAGATTAAATTCAACGATTGAAAAGAAACAATATTAATGAATAATTATAATTATTGTTTATTAATTATATTCTTATAATTCAAGTTATTTGAATCGATTTAATATTTATTTTTGTCATTAAAAAATTATTACTTAAACGAGTGGGGTTGCATCATGCGACAAAACATGATACGATTTGCATCACGTATCTTAATTGAATAAAATTGCATTACATTCCTGGTACACATGGATAACTTACACAAACATACAAAATATGTGGAGAGAGCATAACGAAAGCTTTGCGAGAGATTATCTCTTAATTATAATCGAGAAAACTTTGTGGGGCCGTTAACACTAGTTCATGATTAAAATTTTATAAATTCTTTGAGAATCCACAGAAGGTAGAAAAATTCATTATTATCTCGCATTCTTTTATCATCATTCTAGTCATCTCTTTACCTCCCACAACCCTCCCCCCACTCAGCAATCCTTTTCACGTTTTCCTTACTTTTCTTCTTTTCTCACGTACGAATAAATTAAATGTTAAACGTTCAGTTACCTCATACTCGTTAAATTATAATAAGAAGAAAATTTCTAAATTGATATTTTCTACAAAAATATACTTATTATTAACAATGAACGTATTAATAAAATATACATTTTTATTGTATTTGTTTTTTAAGCTATTACGTGAATTATTGTTAATTATATATATGTATATTTAATAATTGCTTCATCAGATTTGATTTAATGAAAGAAAATATCTGTTTATTAACACGATTTAAATAGAATGATGAAATATTGAATAATATTGCAAATTTTTTGGTAAAAATTAATATTTTATTTTGTACAACAAGGTAACAACAATTATGTATTATAAATACAAAATGTAATACTATTTGCTATGACTGGAGACAAAAACTCTATTAAAACTATGTTTGCCTCGTATGTTTTATGGCAATATGTTTCATCGAAAGATTCCTTGTAGTTTTCTTTTTTTCTTTTTAAATGGCAATCTTTCGAAGAAATGTATGCAGTTAATGTGTACGTGTGCCTTCCTCTCGTATATGTGTGTGTAGACGTATCTTTTTTATTTTAAAATGCTTATGTCACTTTTTATTGGTCTGTCTGTTTGTTAATATTTTTTCTGTTTTTTTTTATTGATTTTTTTTTTTTTAATGACTCCAACCATGACCGTAACTTTTAACCTTATGGAAAATGTGTTTGTAAACTGGAATATGAATCGGATACGGTTTTTCAACGGGTACAGGTACATGTTTTTCTATAGTAATTGGTACAGCTTTTTCGACGGGCACAGGTATCACTTTTTCTACCGGATACGGAACCTTTTTCTCAACGGGTACCGCTACTGTCTTTACCACCGGTATGGCCACTGGTTTGGCAACCGGTACATGAATCGGATATGGCTGAGGTACTCCTACTGCTACCGGATGCGGAACTGCTATTGCAACTGGTTGAGCTACCGGTACTCCTAAACAATAACAAAAATTTCATTCTTTTCTTAACAAACAAATTATATTTTATTATTTTTATCCTATGGTCATTAAAACTCGTGCAATTAATTAGATTTATAGGATTGGAATATAATTGTTTATTGGGTTAGGAAAAAAAATTCAGGAAAATGATGAAAAATTATATGGATTAGAGCTTACCAACATTTTTTATAACAGGGACAGGTACAGGTTTCGTAATCTCGACGTGTTCGCTGATCGGTACAGCCTGTACGGAGTAATGTTGTTGTGAATGACCTCCATAAAGACCATGATCAAGACCTGAGTGAAGGCTATGGCCTCCACCACCGTAAGAATCGTAAGAAGAACCGTAAGAGCTTATGTCTTGATGAATATTTCCATAAGAATCGTGAAGAGATATGTCCTCGTGTCCACCATAACCCGAACCATAATTTGTTGATATTCTGCATATCATAAAATAAACAAAAAACATAAAAATTAAAAATTTCTATAGTTTGCAAAATAATTAATTATATTTTTATTAGATTTTTTTTCAACAAATTCATAAATTTTTTGTTAAAAAAAAAATTTAACGAGCAAATATTATAGTTAAGTCTTATAAAATTACTATTTTCAATATGATAGTTATAATTTTATTTATTAAATATAATTACATTCTTATATAAAATTCATTATATCTTATATTAATATTATCATTATTATTATTAATATTATTAAATTTATTAGTATTTTTTTATATTTTACATACCCTTGCCATCCACCAGAATTAATGCTCAAACAAGTCCGAGTAAGCAAACATATGACGACGAGCTGAAAAAAAATATCTATTTTTAATAAACATAGGAAGGGTAGCTTTCTTAAATCAAAAAAGGTTATTTCAAAATGGGTCTCGTGTTTTCTTTTTATCGGAAGTAAATAAAGATAGAGTATGTTTCCTATGGTTCTCCAAGGAGATACTTGACCTCGATAAGAATGTATAGTCTAGAAGGAGATTGTATGTCTACAAGACGTTTACTTTAGAAGGGGGTATTGTGTCCGAGAGACTTTCGATTTATCAGAAATTTCGATAAAACGATATCCACTACTTTCGCAAATCTCCACGTAGTATATACATATACTAAAAACCATAAGCTTGTTGGTCATGTTTTTTGTTTATTTTGTTGTTGTTACTTTTATTCGTCGTACTTACACAGGACAAATAATACATTTTACGATCTGTTTGTTTGTTTATTTGTTTTGTGTTTGCCTTTGTTTTTTTGTTTTTTGTTTATTTTATTATTATTATTATTATTATTATTATTATTATTATTATTATTATTATTATTATTATTATTATTATTTAATTAAAATGTGATAAATAACGAATGGATGTTAATACGAACGAAAACGTAAGGGATACTGCAACTTGTCGGATGTTGAACGTTCGTTTTTATACACAGGACGCTTTCTCCCTCCCACCCCTTCTTAGTTAACAGCAAATGGTGGATCTCTCGTTTGAAAACCGGACTTACACGTACTCGCCCATATTCTATTCGTAAATAAAGAACTATGATAGTCGGTAATGAAATTCAACACGTGCAATGGGTTGACTTGTTTCCCACCTTTTTAAGATAAAAGTCAATAATCTTTACACCTGTACCGATTACATTAACCTTGAAATGGAAGAGGAAACAAATATCTGATGAAAGAAAAATGATAAGTATAATAAATATACGTAATCGATTTAACATTAATTTTATAATTAATTTTCATAGGTATTTTAAAGTAAAATTTTATGATTTGGTTATAATTGTTAAATATGATCGTGTTCAAGCTCTTTCACCATCCGGATCCTTCGAAGAATGTTAGTCGAATGTAATGCGAACGTCCGAAGATTGGTGAACGACCGGTGAATGTAGTGAACACGCCCCATGTGTTAGAAAACAAAATCTATTATAGCCACAAAGCCGATGAAAGTAATTTCCTTTTCGA